TGAGTGTGTAAGTCCTGTGTGTCTGAGTGTGTGAGTGTGTGTCTCTGTGTGTCTGAGTGTGTGTCTCTGTGTCTGAGTGTGTGTGTCTCTATGTCTGAGTGTGTGAGTCTGTGTGTCTGTGAGTGTGTGTGTCTGTGTGTGTATCTCTCTGTGTCTCTCTGAGTGTGTGTCTCTGTGTCTGGGTGTGTGTCTCTGTGTCTGGGTGTGTGCCTCTGTGTCTGAGTGTGTGTCTCTCTGTGTCTGTGAGTGTGTGTGTGTCTCTGTGAGTGTGTGTGTGTCTCTGTGAGTGTGTGTGTGTCTCTGTGAGTGTGTGTGTGTCTCTGTGTCTGAGTGTGTGTCTCTGTGTCTGAGTGTGTGTCTCTGTGTCTGTGTGTGTCTCTCTGTGTCTGAGTGTGTGTCTGTGTGTCTGAGTGTGTGTCTGTGTGTCTGAGTGTGTGTCTCTGTGTCTGGGTGTGTGTCTCTGTGTCTGAGTGTGTGTCTCTGTATGTCTGAGTGTGTGTGTCTTTGTGCGTCTCTCTGAGTGTCTGAGCGTGTGAGTCTGTGTGTCTGAGTGTGTGAATGTGTGCACCTGAGCGTGTGCCTCTGTGTGTGTCTGAGCGTGTGCCTCTGTGTGTGTGTGTCTCTGTGAGTGTCTGAGCGTGTGTCTCTGTATGTGTCTGAGTGTGTGTCTCTCTGTGACTGCGTGAGTGTGTGCGTCTCTCTGTGTCTGTGTGTGTGTCTCTCCGTATCTCTATGAGTGTGTGTATGTCTCTGTGTCTGAGTGTGTGTATGTCTCTGTGTCTGAGTGTGTGTCTCTGTGTCTGAGTGTGTGTCTCTGTGTCTGAGTGTGTGTGTCCCTGTGTGTCTCAGTGTGTGTGTCTCTCTTGTGTCTGAGTGTGCGTCTCTCTATGTCTGACTGTGTGAGTCTGTGTGTCTGAGTGTGTGAGTGTGTGTGTCTCTGTGTGTGTCTGAGCGTGTGTCTCTGTGTGTGTCTGAGCGTGTGTGTCTCTGTGTGTGTCTGAGCGTGTGTGTCTCTGTGTGTGTCTGAGCGTGTGTCTCTGTGTGTGTCTGAGCGTGTGTCTCTGTGTGTGTCTGAGCGTGTGTCTCTCTGTGTCTGTGACTGTGTGAGTGTGTGTCTCTCTATGTCTGTGAGTGTGTGCGTCTCTATGTCTGAGTGTGTGTGTCTCTGTGTGTCTCAGTGTGTGCGTCTCTCTATGTCTGAGTGTGTGAGTCTGTGTGTCTGAGTGTGTGAGTGTGTGTCTCGGTGTGTCTGAGTGTATGTCTCTGTGTGTCTGAGTGTGTGTCTCTGTGTCTGAGTGTGTGTGTCTCTGTATGTCTCAGTGTGTGCGTCTCTCTATGTCTGAGTGTGTAAGTCTGTGTGTCTGAGTGTGTGAGTGTGTGTCTCTGTGTGTCTGAGTGTGTGTCTCTGTGTCTGAGTGTGTGTGTCTCTGTCTGAGTGTGTGAGTCTGTGTGTCTGTGATTGTGTGAGTGTGTGTCGCTCTATGTCTGTGAGTGTGTGCGTCTCTTTGTGTCTGTGTGTGTATCTCTCTGTGTCTCTCTGAGTGTGTGTCTCTGTGTCTGGGTGTGTGTCTCTGTGTCTGGGTGTGTGTCTCTGTGTGTGTCTGAGCGTGTGTGTCTCTGTGTGTGTCTGAGCGTGTGTCTCTCTGTGTCTGTGACTGTGAGTGTGTGTGTCTCTCTGTGTCTGTGAGTGTGTGTGTGTCTCTGTGAGTGTGTGTGTGTCTCTGTGAGTGTGTGTGTGTCTCTGTGTCTGAGTGTGTGTCTCTGTGTCTGAGTGTGTGACTCTGTGTCTGGGTGTGTCTCTCTGTGTCTGAGTGTGTGTCTGAGTGTGTTGAGTGTGTGTCTGTGTGTCTGAGTGTGTGTCTCTGTGTGTCTGAGTGTGTGTCTCTGTGTCTGGGTGTGTGTCTCTGTGTCTGAGTGTGTGTCTCTGTATGTCTGAGCGTGTGAGTCTGTGTGTCTGAGTGTGTGAATGTGTGCACCTGAGCGTGTGCCTCTGTGTGTGTCTGAGCGTGTGCCTCTGTGTGTGTGTGTCTCTGTGAGTGTCTGAGCGTGTGTCTCTGTGTGTGTCTGAGTGTGTGTCTCTCTGTGACTGCGTGTGTGTCTCTCCGTATCTCTATGAGTGGGTGTATGTCTCTGTGTCTGAGTGTGTGTATGTCTCTGTGTCTGAGTGTGTGTCTCTGTGTCTGAGTGTGTGTCTCTGTGTCTGAGTGTGTGTGTCCCTGTGTGTCTCAGTGTGTGTGTCTCTCTTGTGTCTGAGTGTGCGTCTCTCTATGTCTGACTGTGTGAGTCTGTGTGTCTGAGTGTGTGAGTGTGTGCGTCTCTGTGTGTCTGAGCGTGTGTCTCTCTGTGCGTCTTAGCGTGTGTGTCTCTGTGTGTGTCTGAGCGTGTGTGTCTCTGTGTGTGTCTGAGCGTGTGTGTCTCTGTGTCTGTGACTGTGTGAGTGTCTGTCTCTCTATGTCTGTGAGTGTGTGCGTCTCTATGTCTGAGTGTGTGTGTCTCTGTGTGTCTCAGTGTGTGCGTCTCTCTATGTCTGAGTGTGTGAGTCTGTGTGTCTGAGTGTGTGAGTGTGTGTCTCGGTGTGTCTGAGTGTGTGTCTCTGTGTGTCTGAGTGTGTGTCTCTGTGTGTGTCTGATCGTGTGTCACTCTGTGTCTGTGATTGTGTGAGTGTCTGTCTCTCTATGTCTGTGAGTGTGTGCGTCTCTTTGTGTTTGTGTGTGTATCTCTCTGTATCTCTCTGAGTGTGCGTCTCTATGTCTGAGTGTGTGTGTCTCTGTGTGTCTCAGTGTGTGCGTCTCTCTATGTCTGAGTGTGTAAGTCTGTGTGTCTGAGTGTGTGAGTGTGTGTCTCTGTGTGTCTGAGTGTGTGTCTCTGTGTCTGAGTGTGTGTGTCTCTATGCCTGAGTGTGTGAGTCTGTGTGTCTGTGATTGTGTGAGTGTGTGTCGCTCTATGTCTGTGAGTGTGTGCGTCTTTTTGTGTCTGTGTGTGTATCTCTCTGTGTCTCTCTGAGTGTGTGTCTCTGTGTCTGGGTGTGTGTCTCTGTGTCTGGGTGTGTGCCTCTGTGTGTGTCTGAGCGTGTGTGTGTCTCTGTGTGTGTCTGAGCGTGTGTCTCTCTATGTCTGTGAGTGTGTGTGTGTCTCTGTGAGTGTGTGTGTGTCTCTGTGAGTGTGTGTGTGTCTCTGTGAGTGTGTGTGTGTCTCTGTGTCTGATTGTGTGTCTCTGTGTCTGAGTGTGTGTCTCTGTGTCTGGGTGTGTCTCTCTGTGTCTGAGTGTGTGTCTGAGTGTCTTGAGTGTGTGTCTGTGTGTCTGAGTGTGTGTCTCTGTGTCTGAGTGTGTGTCTCTGTGTCTGAGTGTGTGTCTCTGTGTGTCTGAGTGTGTGTGTCTTTGTGCGTCTCTCTGAGTGTCTGAGCGTGTGAGTCTGTGTGTCTGAGTGTGTGAATGTGTGCACCTGAGCGTGTGCCTCTGTGTGTGTCTGAGCGTGTGCCTCTGTGTGTGTGTGTCTCTGTGAGTGTCTGAGCGTGTGTCTCTGTATGTGTCTGAGTGTGTGTCTCTCTGTGACTGCGTGAGTGTGTGCGTCTCTCTGTGTCTGTGTGTGTGTCTCTCCGTATCTCTATGAGTGGGTGTATGTCTCTGTGTCTGAGTGTGTGTATGTCTCTGTGTCTGAGTGTGTGTCTCTGTGTCTGAGTGTGTGTCTCTGTGTCTGAGTGTGTGTGTCCCTGTGTGTCTCAGTGTGTGTGTCTCTCTTGTGTCTGAGTGTGCGTCTCTCTATGTCTGACTGTGTGAGTCTGTGTGTCTGAGTGTGTGAGTGTGTGCGTCTCTGTGTGTGTCTGAGCGTGTGTCTCTGTGTGTGTCTGAGCGTGTGTGTCTCTGTGTGTGTCTGAGCGTGTGTGTCTCTGTGTGTGTCTGAGCGTGTGTGTCTCTGTGTGTGTCTGAGCGTGTGTGTCTCTGTGTGTGTCTGAGCGTGTGTCTCTCTGTGTCTGTGACTGTGTGAGTGTCTGTCTCTCTATGTCTGTGAGTGTGTGCATCTCTATGTCTGAGTGTGTGTGTCTCTGTGTGTCTCAGTGTGTGCGTCTCTCTATGTCTGAGTGTGTGAGTCTGTGTGTCTGAGTGTGTGAGTGTGTGTCTCGGTGTGTCTGAGTGTATGTCTCTGTGTGTCTGAGTGTGTGTCTCTGTGTCTGAGTGTGTGTGTCTCTGTATGTCTCAGTGTGTGCGTCTCTCTATGTCTGAGTGTGTAAGTCTGTGTGTCTGAGTGTGTGAGTGTGTGTCTCTGTTTGTCTGAGTGTGTGTCTCTGTGTCTGAGTGTGTGTGTCTCTGTCTGAGTGTGTGAGTCTGTGTGTCTGTGATTGTGTGAGTGTGTGTCGCTCTATGTCTGTGAGTGTGTGCGTCTCTTTGTGTCTGTGTGTGTATCTCTCTGTGTCTCTCTGAGTGTGTGCCTCTGTGTGTGTCTGAGCGTGTGTGTCTCTGTGTGTGTCTGAGCGTGTGTCTCTCTGTGTCTGTGACTGTGTGAGTATGTGTCTCTCTATGTCTGTGAGTGTGTGTGTGTCTCTGTGAGTGTGTGTGTGTCTCTGTGAGTGTGTGTGTGTCTCTGTGTCTGAGTGTGTGTCTCTGTGTCTGAGTGTGTGACTCTGTGTCTGGGTGTGTCTCTCTGTGTCTGAGTGTGTGTCTGAGTGTCTTGAGTGTGTGTCTGTGTGTCTGAGTGTGTGTCTCTGTGTGTCTGAGTGTGTGTCTCTGTGTCTGGGTGTGTGTCTCTGTGTCTGAGTGTGTGTCTCTGTATGTCTGAGCGTGTGAGTCTGTGTGTCTGAGTGTGTGAATGTGTGCACCTGAGCGTGTGCCTCTGTGTGTGTCTGAGCGTGTGCCTCTGTGTGTGTGTGTCTCTGTGAGTGTCTGAGCGTGTGTCTCTGTGTGTGTCTGAGTGTGTGTCTCTCTGTGACTGCGTGTGTGTCTCTCCGTATCTCTATGAGTGGGTGTATGTCTCTGTGTCTGAGTGTGTGTATGTCTCTGTGTCTGAGTGTGTGTCTCTGTGTCTGAGTGTGTGTCTCTGTGTCTGAGTGTGTGTGTCCCTGTGTGTCTCAGTGTGTGTGTCTCTCTTGTGTCTGAGTGTGCGTCTCTCTATGTCTGACTGTGTGAGTCTGTGTGTCTGAGTGTGTGAGTGTGTGCGTCTCTGTGTGTCTGAGCGTGTGTCTCTCTGTGCGTCTTAGCGTGTGTGTCTCTGTGTGTGTCTGAGCGTGTGTGTCTCTGTGTGTGTCTGAGCGTGTGTCTCTCTGTGTCTGTGACTGTGTGAGTGTCTGTCTCTCTATGTCTGTGAGTGTGTGCGTCTCTATGTCTGAGTGTGTGTGTCTCTGTGTGTCTCAGTGTGTGCGTCTCTCTATGTCTGAGTGTGTGAGTCTGTGTGTCTGAGTGTGTGAGTGTGTGTCTCGGTGTGTCTGAGTGTGTGTCTCTGTGTGTCTGAGTGTGTGTCTCTGTGTCTGAGTGTGTGTGTCTCTGTATGTCTCAGTGTGTGCGTCTCTCTATGTCTGAGTGTGTAAGTCTGTGTGTCTGAGTGTGTGAGTGTGTGTCTCTGTTTGTCTGAGTGTGTGTCTCTGTGTCTGAGTGTGTGTGTCTCTATGTCTGAGTGTGTGAGTCTGTGTGTCTGTGATTGTGTGAGTGTGTGTCGCTCTATGTCTGTGAGTGTGTGCGTCTCTTTGTGTCTGTGTGTGTATCTCTCTGTGTCTCTCTGAGTGTGTGTCTCTGTGTCTGGGTGTGTGTCTCTGTGTCTGGGTGTGTGTCTCTGTGTGTCTGAGTGTATGTGTCTGTGTGTGTCTCTCTGAGTGTCTGAGCGTGCGTCTCTCTTTCTCTGAGTGTGTGAGTCTGAGTGTGTGAGTGTGTACGTCTGAGTGTGTGCCTCTGTGTGTGTCTGAGCGTGTGTTTGTCTCTGTGTGTGTCTGAGCGTGTGTCTCTCTGTGCCTGCGTGAGTGTGTGTGTCTCTTGTGTCTGAGTGTGTCTCTCTGTGTGTCTGAGCGTGTGTGTCTGAGCGTGTGTCTCTCTGTGTCTGTGACTGTGAGTGTGTGTGTTTCTCTGTGTCTGTGAGTGTGTGTCTCTCTGTATCTCTGAGTGTGTGTGTGTCTTTGTGAGTGTGTGTGTGTCTCTGTGAGTGTGTGTGTGTCTCTGTGAGTGTGTGTGTGTCTCTGTGAGTGTGTGTGTGTCTCTCTGTCTGAGTGTGTGACTCTGTGTCTGGGTGTGTCTCTCTGTGTCTGAGTGTGTGTCTGAGTGTCTTGAGTGTGTGTCTGTGTGTCTGAGTGTGTGTCTGAGTGTGTGTCTGAGTGTGTGTCTTTGTGTGTCTGAGTGTGTGTCTCTGTGTGTGTCTGAGTGTGTGTCTCTCTATGTCTGTGTGTGTGTCTGTGTGTCTTGAGTGTGTGTCTGTGTATCTGAGTGTGTGTCTGAGTGTGTGTCTCTGTGTGTCTGAGTGTGTGTCTCTGTGTCTGGGTGTGTGTCTCTGTGTCTGAGTGTGTGTCTCTGTGTGTCTGAGTGTGTGTGTCTGTGTGCGTCTCTCTGAGTGTCTGAGCGTGTGAGTCTGTGTGTCTGAGTGTGTGAATGTGTGCATCTGAGCGTGTGCCTCTGTGTGTTTCTGAGCGTGTGCCTCTGTGTGTGTCTGAGCGTGTGTCTCTGTGTGTGTCTGATCGTGTGTCTCTCTGTGCCTGCATGAGTGTGTGTGTCTCTTGTGTCTGAGTGTGTCCCTTTGTGCGTCTGAGCGTGTGTGTCTTGTGTGTGTCTGAGAGTGTGTCTCTCTGTGTGTCTGAGCGTGTGTCTCTGTGTGTGTCTGAGCGTGTGTGTCTATGTGTTTGTCTATGTGTGTGTCTGAGCGTGTGTCTCTCTGTGTCTGTGACTGTGAGTGTGTCTCTCTGTGTCTGTGAGTGTGTGCATCTCTCTGTGTCTGTGTGTGTGTCTCTGTGTCTGATTGTATGTCTCTGTGTCTGAGTGTGTGTCTCTGTGTCTGAGTGTGTGTCTCTGTGTCCGAGTGCGTGTCTCTCTGTGTCCGAGTGCGTGTCTCTCTGTGTCCGAGTGCGTGTCTCTCTGTGTCTGAATGTGTGTCTCTGTGTCTGAGTGTGTGTCTCTGTGTCTGAGTATGTGACTCTGTGTCTGAGTGTGTCTCTCTGTGTCTGAGTGTGTGTTTCTCTGTGTCTGAGTGTGTGTATGAGTGTGTGTCTCTCTGTGTCTGGGTGTGTCTCTCTGTGTCCGAGTGTGTGTCTCTCTGTGTCTGGGTGTGTCTCTCTGTGTCCGAGTGTGTGTCTCTCTGTGTCTGAGTGTGTGTCTCTCTGTGTCTGTGTGTCTGAGTCTGTGTGTCTGAGTGCGTGTGTCTGTGTGTCTGAGTGCGTGTGTCTGTGTGTCTGAGCGTGTGTCTTCTGTGCGTCTGAGCGTGCGTCTCTCTGTGCGTCTGAGCGTGTGTCTCTGTGCGTCTGAGCGTGCGTGTTTCTGTGTGTCTGTGTGCGTGTGTCTGTGTGTCTGAGTGTGTGTGTCTGTGTGTCTGAGTCTGTGCGTCTCTCTGTGTGTCTGAGTCTGTGCGTCTCTCTGTGCGTCGGAGCGTGAGTCTCTCTGTGCGTCTAAGCGTGCGTTTCTCTGTGCGTCTGAGCGTGTGTCTCTGTGCGTCTGAGCGTGCGTCTCTCTGTGCGTCTGAGCGTGTGTCTCTGTGCGTCTGAGCGTGCGTGTCTCTGTGCGTCTGACCGTGCGTCTCTCTGTGCGTCTGAGCGTGCGTCTCTGTGTGCGTCTGAGCGTGCGTCTCTGTGTGCGTCTGAGCGTGTGTCTCTGTGCGTCTGAGCGTGCGTCTCTCTGTGCGTCTGAGCATGCGTCTCTGTGTGCGTCTGAGCGTGTGTCTCTGTGCGTCTGAGCGTGCGTCTCTGTGTGCGTCTGAGCGTGTGTCTCTGTGTGCGTCTGAGCTTGTGCGTCTGTGTGTGTCTGAGAGTGTGTCTCTCTGTGTCTGTGACTGTGTGAGTGTGTGTGTGTCTCTGTGTCCGTGAGTGTGTGTGTCTCTCTGGGATCTTTAAAGTCCTCCTGGACAGTCAGACAGGACTTTAATATTTTATTCGAAGAGTGCCACCTCCACACGCCTAGCACTGCATTTGAAGTGTCAGGCTAGACTACATTGGTTCCAGGTCCTGACATAAACCTTGAACCCAAACCTTCTGACTCAGAAGCAAGAGTGCTTAATTCAGAAGCTGGCTTTTTAAATAAAGTTAAAAAGAACTGTGGAAAACCAGCTTCAAGTTTGTTCTTAATGTAAGCTTTTCCGTAATTCCGAATGATCTTAAATTTTAGAAAAGCGGACTTAAGGCTAAGACTGAGAAATGTTTCATCTCCAATATGAACAGAAATTGATACCACTTGATACCCCAGGTTTAAAAATAGCTTTATTAGACATCAGTAATCAGATCAAATGCATGGATTATTATTATCCAGAATGTGCTAACCCCATGCTGATGGTAGATGGACTATGTGGTTCTGCCACTAGAGGTCCCAGTAAATTGGGGAAGAGCTTTTTTCAGGTCATGACATATTTTCCATTAAACCTCAGGAAGTTATGTGAGGTTTCTTTGGAGCTGTGCTGACTTCATGGTAACATGCTTGGCAACATTAGAGTTGAGGTACAGATCAGCCATGATCTAATGCAATGGTGGAACAGGCTTGAGTGGCTGAATGGCCTACTCCTGGTCCTATGTTCGTAACAGTTTGTTGGAATCGAGTCAATCCTCTGTGGGCGTCTCAGTCATCCAGTTCCATGGACCAGCCAGCCAGGCTCATCAACAGTTAACCCTCAAGCCAGAATACTAATGGGTAGGGTAGGTTTTGCTGGATAAGCAGGTTGATGCTTGCCAGAGAATGCTCTCTGCTATTTTAGCTGGTTAAACTCCAACAGTACCCAAACACACACTCTTTGATCCCTTGCAAATGTGCGCCAAAAAAACTCTGGAATTGGGTAAGCAGGGTACATCCCTTCAGACACAAGGATTCCATTCCAGACACACCAAAATTTCCAATACGCAGGTGGCACACATAATTGGAACACTTAATTTGGTTTGGATACTCTTTAAGCGCAATGATGGGTTTTGGCTTGTGTCAGACACCAGGCTAACCATAAATAAATTAAATAAATTCCAAAAATAAATTGGAATCTCATTGTTTCATTTACAAGAAGTTACTAGAAAACTTTTTTGCTTTTTTTTGCAATTCTTTCCTTACTTCTATTAATTTTCAATGATCCTGAACTCTAACTAAAAGTAGACACCAAACCAGTGACAGAACGACAAAGAATCAGCGAATCCCTTTCCTCTCTTTTACAGGTGGATTATTTGAATATATTTCTGGAGCCAATTTCTTTGGCGAGATATTGGAGTGGTCTGGTTATGCCATTGCAACCTGGTCCTTCCCAGCCTTCTCGTTTGCTGTGTTTTCAGCCTCTTTTGTAGGACCTCGAGCATATCACCACCACAGGTAAGTTGTGCTTCATATGGTTCTCATACTGTCTTGGTTTGTCCTTTCATTAGTTGCCCACACTGCATCCTCTAACACCCCTCCAAGTTCCTTTCAGCTGAACATTCCCCATTTCAATTGCTTCCCACTCTTTCTTTGTATCTTGTAGATCACACTCAAATAGCCTGCTTCAACCTTCTTTAGCTCTTTGTAAAAATTCCCTTCTTCTGTCATGGTTACCCTGTTTTTGTACAACCTTTAGCCTATGTCTATACTAATAAAATGACAATGTCTGTGTGTCTGTGTATCTGACAAACCACCTTTACATTAGTATCACAAACCACTTTTATTTAAAATAGCAGGGACAGCTTTGGTGAGTCAATTCTGAAAACTGTCTGAGTAAGTTGAAATATATTGTGAGAGACCACATGGTTCTTAGTGGGGGAAAAACACCTCTCTGATACATTGTTTAAGGGGACGAGGGCAGCAGGCTTGACTCTGGGTCGCCAGCTTTTGGTCACCATCTGGGTTACATGCATGACTTGAGAGGGATTAACTCCAAGTTTAGATTTGTTTTTAATTTACTAGTTTTACAGTTTCAGTGTTGAGGGTTATCTATTTCCAATGTTGCATTTGTTTGTCTTATTAATGGTTAGAGAAACTAGACATAGGATTGTCTAGGGCTAATAAAACTCTGTTGCATTTTCTCAGTAGTATCTTCGAGTCTTTGTTAAATTCTTAAGGAGGGAGGTAGGGAAATGCACAAAACAGGTAGTAGCTGGACTCAGTGGCCTGGTAGTGTGATAATAATAATAATCCTTGCATTTGATATAGCGCTTTTCACGTCGGGAGGACGTCCCAAAGCGCTTCACAGAACACACTGTAAAGTGAATTGACTGTATATTTGTGGGCGAACGCGGCAGCCAATTGCGCACAGCAATGTCCCACAGACAGTCGTAGATTGAAAATGACCAATTTATTATTGTTTTGGGTTTTGGAGGGATTATTATTAGGCTCTGTGTGGAGTAAGGAAACTTGCCCAAGGTTTCGCCCTCTGCCTGGAATTGAACTCAGGTCTCTCACTTGCAAAGCGAGTGCTCTAACCACTGAGCTACAGGACTCTACGGAATGGCTGCAGCCTGAGCATCAACAAGCCACAGCTCCAGCACTGCACCTGATTGGCACTGAGAAAAGCATCTCAATTGCATGAGCAGTAAATCAACAACAGCAGCAAATTGCATTTATACAGTGCTCTCTGCTTTATACAGTGATAAGGTAGACTTGGGGCAGATGTTTCCACTTGTGAGTGTTAGAATATACCAATCCCGAGGATCCGAAATAATGACTCAACAATCCTTAATAAAGGTATAATGGTTTATTATTCACAAACAGTTTATGAGTATATAGCAAAAGAGATAAATGGTCATACTACCAGTTCTATGTGGTCTGTAGGCTGATTTCAGTCTTTCATGTCGGCTTCTCAGCTCAAGCTTTTGCAATACTCACGTTCTCTCTTTGTCTCTCTCTCCCTGCTTCCACCCTTCTCTGTTCGGTGGCACCCCAATTATACTAAATTTGCCTCTAAACTTTGCTCCAGGAAGATAAAATTATGATCTCCAGAATTGTAGTCTTTTTTCTTGTTTAACCTGATCAACGAGGTTTTCTTCTTTTGGCCATCTGGAATTGAGAGAGGTTTAACCGTATCTCAGTATTATCCTTGAGGGTGTAACTAGTTTACAAGAAAAGCTTTCAGACGCACATTCCATTGTCCTGGTGCCAGGCTCAGGGTCTCCGCCTATCCTCAGGTGGCCCTTACCTCATACTCCAGGACGAGAGGTCGTGCCTGCTTCTCCCAGCGCCTGGAACCGACAGGCTCAGCGTTCTTCTAATGTTTTTAAACCAATGTTTTATAATTTCCATAAGGTGTTATAATTTCTATATATTTCCGTCAATCTAACATGAGCGCTACCAACATGCTACAACACGTGGAACGTGCTATCACAAAGAGTTGTTGAGGCAAATAGCATAGATGTATTTCAGGGAAAGCTAGATAGGTACATGAGGGAGAAAGGAATAGAAGATTATGCTTGAGGGCTTAGTTGAGGAAGGGCAGGAGGAGGCTCCTGTGGAGCATAAACACCAGTTGGGCCGAATGGCCTGTTTCTGTGCTGTTTATTCTAATATATTCTCCATGCCGGGTGGCACTCTTGAGTCAGTTGAGAATATCTGTTGTCATGTTGCTGTAAGTAGTGACGTTCCACAAGAGTAGGCATTTGCACTTACAGAGATAGAACTGAAAACAGAGGCCACTTAGTACATTTTGCATTGCTAATTTTCATGTGTTAGACAAAAGGGGTGAGAACCGTCGCACTTTCCTTCTCTTGCCAGTAAATTTTGAGTTTCTTGGAGCAACATTACAAGCTCTTTAACATCAATTTGTTGCTTCCTCTCAAACTCAGTGAATTGTTCCTGATCTTTAGCATCCACTTCTGCAATTCTATCACAAGCTCTGCTGACCTCAACCTCCTACTAGGCGCCTGTCAGTTTGTGCACAAACAACAATTTGTTTGAAATCTGCGTTAAGTTAGAGAGGGATATAGTTAAATCTGAGGCAAGTATTCTAAATTTAAATAAGGGTAATTTTGTGGGTATGAGGAAAGATTTAGGTAAAATAGACAGGAGAATAAGATTAAGAGGTAAAAATGTAGACCAACAGTGGCAAATAAATTATGTTATGCTGGAGTTATGTTATGTTATGCTGGAGTTAGATTAGAAGATCAGGAATGATTGAATGGCGGAGCAGGCTCGAAGGGCCAAATAGCCTACTCCTGCTCCTACACGTTATGTTAGGATATAGTGCAAAATTCTCAGTGGTCGCATATTCCCTTGCGGAATAAGAATACCACAGGGAAAGCAATTCATCCGTGCCTAACTAGAGCAGTTAGGGAAAGCATCAAATTAAAAGAAAAAGCTTATAAAACTGCTAAGAAAAGCAGCAAATCTGAAGATTGGGAGAGTTTTAGAAACCAGCAAAAAAGAAACTAAAAAACTCATTAAGAGCGAGAAAAAGGAGTATGAGGGTAAGCTAGCTAGCAACATTAAGTCTGATTGTAAAAGTTTTTACAAATACATTAAGAGGAATAGGCTAGTGAGGATAAATGTAGGTCCACTTCAGTCAGAGCAGGGGGAAGTTGCAAGGGGGGATAAGGACATGGCAGAGTCCCTAAATGGGTACTTTGCATCTGTCTTCACCCTAGAAGACACAACATGTCTGCCAACAATAGAGATGCACCAAGGGGATAAGGACAGGGAGCAACTTAGATAAATTTTCATTAGTAGAGAATTGGTGCTAGGGAAACTGTTAGCACTAAAAAGTGACAAATCCCCAGGTCCGGATGGCTTGCATCCCAGGGTTTTAAAAGAGGTAGCTTATGAGATAGTGGAGGCCTTGTGTCTGATCTTCCAAAATTCCTTGGATTCTGGAACAGTCCCCATGGATTGGAAGATCACAAATGTTACACTACTATTTAAAAAAGGTGGAAAGGAAAAGTTGGGGTACTAGTTAGTCTCACATCAGTGATAGGAAAAAATTTAGAATCATTGATTAAGGATGTGGTAGTGCGGTATTTAGAGGAGCACAACATAATTAGGCCAAGTCAACGTGGCTTTACAATAGGGAAGTCATGTTTGACAAATCTCATAGAGTTTTTTGAGGATATTTCCAGTAAACTAGATAAGGGTGAATCAGTGGATGTGGTCTATTTGGATTTCCAGACGGTATTCGATTAGGTGCGACATAAAAGGTTAGTCCAAGATATAAGGGCTCATGGAATTGGGGGGAGCATATTAACGTGGATTGGGGAATGGTTAACGGGTAGGAAACAAAGAGTAGGGATAAACGGGTCCTTTTCAGATTGGCGGGATGTGACTAGTGGAGTGCCACAAGGATCAGTCCTTGGCCTCAGCTATTTACCATCTATATCAACGATCTAGATGAGGACATTGAAGTTAATATATCTAAATTCACGGATGACACAAAACTAGGAGGAAGTGTCAACACAGAGGACGACATTAAAAAAATCCAGTGAGACATAGATAGGTTAGGTGATTGGGCAGGTAGGTGGCAGATGAAGTATAATGTAGGGAAGTGCGAAGTCATCCACCTGGGTAGCAAAAACAGTAGAGCAGGTTATTTTTTAAAAGGGGAGAGATTGGAATGTGTTAGCGTCCAGAGGGACTTGGGTGTCCTTGTACACCAATCACAGAAAGTTAGTCTGCAGGTGCAGTAAGCAATTAGGATGGCGATCAGTATGTTAGCATTCATTATGAAAGGATTAGAGTATAAGAGGAGGGAAGTCTTGCTGCAGCTGTATAGGGCCCTGGTGAGACCACACCTGGAATACTGTGTGCAGTTTTGGTCTCCTTATTTAAGGAAGGATGTACTTGACTTGGAGAGGATGCAGCGTAGATTTATTAGGATAGTACCAGAGATGAAGGGGATGAGTTACGAGGATAGGCTGACCAATCTGGGCCTATATTCTCTAGAATATAGAAGAATTAGAGGGGATTTTATAGAAACCTATAAAATCATCAAAGGGCATGATAGTGGGAGACTGTTTCCCCTGGTTGGAGAAACTAAGTGAGAGACCTGAGTTCAATTCCAGACAGGGCGAAACCTTGGGCAAGTTTCCTTACTCCACACGCCTAATAATAATCCCTCCAAAACCAAAAACAATAATAAATTGGTCATTTTCAATCTACAACTGTTTGTGGGACATTGCTGTGCGCAATTGGCTGCCGTGTTCGCCCACAAATATACAGTCAATTCACTTTACAGTGTGTTCTGTGAAGTGCTTTGGGACGTCCTCCCAACGTGAAAAGCGCTATATCAAATGCAAGGAGTATTATTATTATTAAAACCAGGGGTGACAACCTTAAAGTCAGAGGCCAGCCCTTTCGCACTGAGTTGAGGAAGAACTTCCTCACCACTCAAAGGGTGGTGAATGTATGGTACTCGCTACCCCAAAGGGCTGTTGACGCTCAGTCCTTGAACATATTCAAGACTGAGATAGATAGATTTCTTATTGCAAAAGGGATTAAGGGATATGGGGATAAGGCAGGGTCAGGTTAGATTAGAAGATCAGCAATGATTGAATGGCGGGGCAGGCTCGAAGGACCGAATGGCCTACTCCTGCTCCTACATGTTATGTTAATTTTCAGTTAAATAGTGGCTTTTATATCTTAGGGCCCTTTTCAGAGACACTGAGCAGGGTTTATGGGAAGGAAAAAGGGAACTGTAGGCATAGTTGAAGGGGCAGGTTTTTGTGCAGCTTTTTGAAAGACACATAGAAAGTTGCCCAGAAGAGTTCACACCATGCTTAACATTCCTCGCCCAGATTCACCTCCAGTTTAAACAAATTGGGTAATCAACTGGTCCAGTTAAACCATCACATTAACACTTAATCACTTGACTGGTTGATTCTTCTTAAAAAGCCAAATCCAATTTAGGGTGTAAACTCCTACGATCCTGATTTCAAATCCTTACAGCAGGGTATCTCCTATAGACTACATGGGGTGTTGTACAGTTTTGAAAATTTGTTATTTATACCTGAAATTTATAGAAAGATAGACTTAACAATTTGCATATTTATGGCTCAATTCACGTAAAAGATCATCTAATCCCTGACTGTTCAGCGCCTTGGGTGGACATCCCAATGTGCTGGATAGTCAGGGATTTGGACCCGAGTTGGAGGATGGGAACAGGGAAGGTGGAGGGTAGGAGGGTGGCCAAAGTCTCGGATGAAGAGAACGGTTTTGAAACTCGCCTTGAAGGAGGCAAGAGATGGAGAGAGGCGAAGGGAATGTGGGATGGAGTTCCACAGGGTGGGGGCAGAAAGGCCCAGCCACCAATGGTGGAGCAGGCTGGGCAGGGGACATGGAGTAGGCCAGAGCCTGCGGAATGGAGCAAGCGGACAGGTTGATATGGGGTCAATGTTTTGTGATTGAATAGTTCTTGATTCATGACCTAAATCTATGCTTTTTTTTATGTTTATGATATTTTGGTCAAACAAATAGGTTAGCCACCACTACTGTAGGTATCAAAAGAATTCAGGCTTAAACGGTTCTAAACTAATTAGGATTGAATGTGTATTTTATTTGGAGTAAAAGCATTCATACATTTTAATTTGTTGGAACCTCACTCTCACTTGTGTTTCGTGTCTCCCTGATTGATATTATTTTCCTGTTATTTAGATATTATCTTGAAAAGTTTGATGACTACCCCAAATCAAGGAAAGCTGTCATTCCTTTTATATTCTGAAGGATATGTGGGAGAGAATATCAAGAGTACAGTATATGTTTCTGAATTACGCCGTCTACATTGACATTCAAGCTGCTATATGACAAACTTCTGTATTACATTTTTCATCTTTACTGTTCATATACACCAACTGCTCGAATCGTCAGTCATTAATATCTTTGAATTGTGCCTTCAGCTCCCCTCTCGACTCTCTACCCTCTCGTCGCTCCCTCCCTTCCCTCCCCTCACCCTGACCATTTCCCCCCTGCTCGGGTCCCGACCCAACTGTCCACCGCCTTGGGACGTCCTCCCGACGTGAAAGGCGCTCTATAAATGAAATGTTGTTGTTGTTGTTGAATTGATTTCAGTGCATTTCCCGCTAAACTTTACTTTTTTTAAGGAGCTTTCATATTAATTATAAATCACAACCAAAGAAAGAGTAAAGATTTAAATATTTCATAGGTGCTCTACAATCTGTGTTTAATATTACCTGCCTGGCTGTGCTCCATTATTGGTTTCTGTCTTTGTATGTTTCCAAAATGAATTTTGCATCTTTTATCTGTGTCACCTTCATTCAGTTGTGAGAATGGTCAGCCAGGTGTCTGATTTATGTGGAAACCTTGCTGAAGGGTATCCAAACAAAACTGAGAGTACCACGTTTCCCACCTACACGTGGAAATCCCAGAGATATTTATTGGAATGGAATGCACATTCTTTCTCTGGAGTGGCATACCTATTTCTGGAGAGTATTAGGTGTAGGTTGGCAAGAGCCAAGGCTTGGGGATTCCAGAGTGTGCGCTGGGGTACTGCTGGAGTCTAACCAGCTAAAACCATTTAGCTTGCCATTGAGAGCATGGTCTGGCAAGCTTTCCTGCAGCTTTTCCAGCTAGAATAACCCTATTCATTAGGGTTTTGGCTTGCACGGAGCATAGGAGTTGGATGGGAAGAGTCTTAATCCTGTATGACTGATCTGCCCTTCCAAGTCCTGCCAATAAACCAGGCGGTTGGTCTGTCAGCAGCAGGGTTGTAATAGACAATATTTTGCTCACCTACAGCAAGTACTGAAGTGACAATATCAAAGTTCTAAGGCATAATCTTACTGGGAACGCTGATAATCATAAACCTCTCCACTGGCACCATTCCTACCCCTTTAAAAATGGCCATCGTCACTCCTATTGTTAAAAAAAAACGCCCTGGACCATCCCTACTCTCCAACTACCACCCCATCACCAACCTCCCTTTCCTTTCCAAGGTCCTGGAAGGAGTCGTTGCTTCCCAGTTTCACTCCTTCCTCTCCCACCACTCCCTTCATGAACCCCTCCAATCAGGTTCCGTACCGCCCACAGCACAGAAACAGCCCTGGTCAAAGTGACAAATGACATTCTGTCCATCTGTGACCAGGGCTCCCGCTGCCTCCTCGTCCTCCTTGACCCCTCTGCTGCCTTAGACAGCATTGACCACTCTATCCTCCTCCACGGCCTCTCCTCTCACCTCAATCTTCATGGTTCTGCCCTTCAATGGTTGAGATCCTACCTCTCACATCGTCTGCACTTCATCTCCACAAACGCGGCCCTCTGGATTGGCTCCCGTCAGGCACCTCTACACCTCAAGCACTGTCATCTCCTCTAGCCCCCGCACTGTCTTGTGCAGAGTTCCTCAGGGCTCCGTCCTTGGACCCTCCTTTTCAATATCTATATGCTCCCTCTTGGTGACATCATCCCCAGACATGGGGTCAACTTCCACATATGCGGATGACACCCAACTTTATCTCTCTGCCTCCACCCTCAATTCCAGGACCACTGCTGTCCTGACTGAATATTTGTCGGACATCAAGTCCTGGATGAGAGCTAATTTTCTACACCCGAATGTCAACAAGATCGAGGCTCTCCTGATTGGCTCCCATCTGTGCCTCCACACCTCAGGCGCTGACAGCATCACCATCCACGGAGGCACACTCCGCCTTACTGAGCCAGTCCGGAACCTGGTGTCTCATTTGACCTTCAACTATCGTTTGTACCCCACATCTGCGCCATTAATGATTTGAGAATCAACAGTACAATTTCAAAATTTGCAGATGACACCAAATTGGGGGGAGCAGTTAATACAGAGGAGGACTGCAACACATTACAGCAAGACATTAATACATTTGCTGAATGGGCATTTAAATGGCAAATGCATTTTAATGTAGAAAAGTGTGAGGTGGTACATTTTGGTGGAAAGAATAAGGAAGTCACATACATCCTGGAAAATCAAAACCTAAATAGGGTAGAGGAGCAAAGGGACCTAGGGGTACACATACACAATTCACTAAAAGTAGCAATGCAGGTTAATAAGGCCATAAAAAAGGCAAACCAGGCATTGGGGTTCATTTCTAGAGGGATAGGAATGAAAAGGTTATGGTAAACTGCTATAGAACCTTGGTTAGACCACACTCAGAATCCTCCATGCAGTTCCTGGCTCCACATTTAGAAGCAATGTAGAGGCACTGGAGAGGGTGTAAAGAAGATTCACAAGGATGATCCCAGAACTGAGAGGTTGTACCCATCAGGAAAGGCTGAACACATCTGGACTCTGTTGAAAAGAGGGTAAGTGCTGACCTGATAGAGGCCTTTAAAATTATGAAATATTTTGATAGGGTAGACATAGGGAATATGTTTCCACTTGGGGGGAGACCAAAACCAGGGACCATCAATATAAAATTGTCACAAATAGATCAAATATGGAAGTTAGAAGAAATTTCTTCATACAGAGAGTAGTGGGAATGTGGAACATGCTATCACAAGGAGTTGTTGATGCAAATAGCATAGATGTATTTATGGGAAGGAGAAAGGGAACTGTAGGCATAGTTGAAGGGGCAGGTTTTTGTGCAGCTTTTTGAAAGACACATAGAAAGTTGCCCAGAAGAGTTCACACCATGCTTAACATTCCTCGCCCAGATTCACCTCCAGTTTAAACAAATTGGGTAATCAACTGGTCCAGTTAAACCATCATATTAACACTTAATCACTTGACTGGTTGATTCTTCTTAAAAAGCCAAATCCAATTTAGGGTGTAAACTTTATAATTTCTATATATTTCCGTCAATCTAACATGAGCGATACCAACATGCTACAACACGTGGAACATGCTATCACAAAGAGTTGTTGAGGCAAATAGCATAGATGTATTTCAGGGAAAGCTAGATAGGTACATGATGGAGAAAGGAATAGAAGATTATGCTTGAGGGCTTAGTTGAGGAAGGGCAGGAGGAGGCTCCTGTGGAGCATAAACACCAGCGTAGACCAGTTGGGCCAAATGGCCTGTTTCTGTGCTGTTTATTCTAATATATTCTCCATGCCGGGTGGCACTCTTGAGTCAGTTGAGAATATCTGTTGTTATGTTGCTGTAAGTAGTGAAGTTCCACAAGAGTAGGCATTTGCACTTACAGAGATAGAACTGAAAACAGAGGCCACTTAGTACATTTTGCATTGCTAATCTTCATGTGTTACACAAAAAGGGGTGAGAACCGTCGCACTTTCCTTCTCTTGCCAGTAAATTTTGAGTTTCTTGGAGCAACATTACAAGCTCTTTAACATCAATTTGTTGCTTCCTCTCAAACTCAGTGAATTGTTCCTGATCTTTAGCATCCACTTCTGCAATTCTATCACAGGCTCTGCTGACCTCAACCTCCTACTAGGCGCCTGTCAGTTTGTGCACAAACAACAATTTGTTTGAAATCTGCGTTACGTTAGAGAGGGATATAATTAAATCTGAGGCAAGTATTCTAAATTTAAATAAGGCTAATTTTGTGGGTATGAGGAAAGATTTAGGTAAAATAGACAGGAGAATAAGATTAAGAGGTAAAAATGTAGACCAACAGTGGCAAATAAGTTATGTTATGCTGGAGTTATGTTATGTTATACTGGAGTTAGATTAGAAGATCAGGAATGATTGAATGGCGGAGCAGGCTCGAAGGGCCAAATAGCCTACTCCTGCTCCTACACGTTATGTTGGGATATAGTGCAAAATTCTCAGTGTTCGCATATTCCCTTGCGGAATAAGAATACCACAGGGAAAGCAATTCATCCGTGCCTAACTAGAGCAGTTAGGGAAAGCATCAAATTAAAAGAAAAAGCTTATAAAACTGCTAAGAAAAGCAGCAAATCTGAAGATTGGGAGAGTTTTAGAAACCAGCAAAAAAGAAACTAAAAAACTCATTAAGAGCGAGAAAAAGGAGTATGAGGGTAAGCTAGCTAGCAACATTAAGTCTGATTGTAAAAGTTTTTACAAATACATTAAGAGGAATAGACTAGTGAGGATAAATGTAGGTCCACTTCAGTCAGAACAGGGGGAAGTTGCAAGGGGGGATAAGGACATGGCAGAGTCCCTAAATGGGTACTTTGCATCTGTCTTCACCCTAGAAGACACAACATGTCTGCCAACAATAGAGATGCACCAAGGGGATAAGGACAGGGAGCAACTTAGATAAATTTTCATTAGTAGAGAATTGGTGCTAGGGAAACTGTTAGCACTAAAAAGTGACAAATCCCCAGGTCCGGATGGCTTGCATCCCAGGGTTTTAAAAGAGGTAGCTTATGAGATAGTGGAGGCCTTGTGTCTGATCTTCCAAAATTCCTTGGATTCTGGAACAGTCCCCATGGATTGGAAGATCACAAATGTTACACTACTATTTAAAAAAGGTGGAAAGGAAAAGTTGGGGTACTAGTTAGTCTCACATCAGTGATAGGAAAAAATTTAGAATCATTGATTAAGGATGTGGTAGTGCGGTATTTAGAGGAGCACAACATAATTAGGCCAAGTCAACGTGGCTTTACAATAGGGAAGTCATGTTTGACAAATCTCATAGAGTTTTTTGAGGATATTTCCAGTAAACTAGATAAGGGTGAATCAGTGGATGTGGTCTATTTGGATTTCCAGACGGTATTCGATTAGGTGCGACATAAAAGGTTAGTCCAAGATATAAGGGCTCATGGAATTGGGGGGAGCATATTAACGTGGATTGGGGAATGGTTAACGGGTAGGAAACAAAGAG